GAGAGCAGGAGGGAAGAGAAAGAGGACAGTGCATTAGTGTGTTGAGGAGGCGGCAGGGCTGCGTGCCTAGTGCTGCCTCCTGGCTAAACAGCCCTTTCAGAACTACGTCTGGTGCTGTCTTTCGAGTCTTCTAAAAACCCGACCATCATATGCTGGCTTCCAGACAAATGCAACAAGTAGAAGTCCCCTCATCCATAGATCTCTGTCTAAACCCCTTTCTAGAACTTATCGCTGTTGTTAAAACCCCATGTAAAGCCAGGCGGTGGTGGCGCACGCCTTTAATTCTGGCACTCGGGAGGCAGAGGCAGGCGAATGAATCTCTGTGAGTTCGAAGCCACCCTGGTCTACAGAGTTAGTTCCAGAACACCTAGGGTTGTTATACAGAGAAACCCTGTCTCAAAACAAAAAACAAACAAACAAACAGCAAAACATGTAAATCCTTCCAGCACTAACACTTCAAACTCCTGGGAAAGGCCCTAGAAAAGGTATGATCCAATTTTGTCCACTGTGTGTGGGAGGGATAGGAGAGTGAATCTACATTTAAGCGGAGAAAATTATTCCCAAACCCCACACTTTGTCAACTTGATCCTGTTAGCAACAGTGCTCCTGAGGAACTAGCTTCGTATGGAGGGCTCTTTAGCCACAAGGGGGCGCTCCACACTCAGGAACGAAAGTGCCAAAGGACCAAGACTCTGGAGATCCTGGACCCAGGCTCCCGTCAGGACCCAACTCTCCGCTCAGTTTGTACTGCCCTTTCTCTGCCTCTTTCCAGATGGGGTCGCTGCTGAGCGCCGATGGCAGCCTTACCTACTCGGCTGCCCCACTAAGCAAGTAAGAGACAAAGAATGGGGAAGACTCGCGGATCACAATCTACCCGATTCCGACTAGGAAACTGTTTTTTCCAACTGTTTTGAGCTGGGGCAAAATTGGGACAGTCGGGGTGTATCTAAGATGCTCTGAGGAGGCATAACTTTAAGGCCACTTCGCTGCCAAGCTAATGGACCAAAATGACAGAGATGCAGCCTCTTCCTTCACCCCAAATCCAATTGAGGAATCCTGCCTGCATAGAGAAGGCTGGAGAGAGCTTCAGCACCATGGACAACGACTCCCCTTGGTGATCCAATGATCCCGTTCCAGCCACAGCCCCTCTTTACAAATGGGAGATCCTGGTAGTCTTTTTCCACTTCTCGAGTCACGTGCGGAGATATCTACAGCGAGGATGCCGATGACCATTATAGGTGCTGGACCTTCTTATATCCTTTGGGAGGCTGTCAGCAGCCAGCCAGGAGGATGCATACATAAAATTCCCTATTTTACAGGTAAGGGACATTAGGCCAAGTCTGTAAGAGTCACATTACTTGCGTGTTTCCATGCCTGGCTGTGATGGAGCAGGGCATTTTCAGACAAAAGTGCCTCTCCACCTCGCCAAGTCTTGCCACACTGATCAGATAGTACAGCAGGAAGGCAGGAAAGCAGGACATGCTGGTACACACTGGGATTTCAGCATATTGGGAGGCTGAGGCAGGAGAGCTGAAGTTTGGGTCCAGCCTGAGTTATGTTGTGAGTTCAAGGCCAGAACTACATAGCAAAAAACCATCTCACAATAAATTAATTAAAAATAAACCAATCAAGTAGCCCAGCAAGAAGGAGATCATGTCGCTAAGGGGAGGATCAGGGCAGGAAACAAACCGGCACGCAGTCTGTGAATTAGGGCTCCTGGACCCTTACGACTTTCAAGGGTCCTAAGCTGGGGGTGGGTACACAGCACTGGATAGCAGGGCCTCTCAATTCCACATGGTGAACGTTCTTCTTTCTGGGACTCTTGACAGTGCAACCAGTGTCCTGCCAAAGTCAGCAGCAGAGACTCACTCTCAAAGCCTACATCCTGGTCCCCTTCTCGGGTTCTCAAGTCTAACCCTGATTCCACTTAAGGAAGGGCAAGGATCATGGTCTTGCCCACTTGCCTGGCTTTGTTTCGGTCTTAGGAGAGACAGCCTCCCTCCTACTCTTGGTTATAATTCTTAGGGAGCCGGCACAGTGAGACGCACAAAGCACTTATATGGAAATATACCAAGGTTCCAAAGTCATTTGCATAAACACAAATCTACTTACCAAACTCAGGACTCTACAAGTACATAGATGTAATGTGCCTGGTCTCACAGACCCTCCCAAAGTGAGCAGCAAAGTGATTTGGGGTGGTGGCACAAGGGCAGTCTTACTGCCCATGACTTCTAACCCTGGCTCTGAAGGAGACTGAGAAAGTGAGGCTTGGGTGACGTTCTAAAGGTGTGTTGGTGATTAAAGGAGCCCTGCCTGTCGACAATGTCTGAGTAATCCTGCTGGGCAGGAACTGACCCAGCCCTAACCAAGGGCTCTCTACAGGGGCCAGGTGCTGGAACCATAGGGTGCTCTGCAAGCCAGGCTGTTTGGGTAATGGGTCCCTAGGGTCCCTTGTGTCTATTTGTAGAAAAATGGAGGGAACTAGTATGGGACACTAAAGACCCTTACAACACCAGAAAGACAGAGGCAACGAGGACAGAGATGCCATTAACACTCTCAGAGCCCCCACTGCAGGCATCATGCATGGGAGCAGACAGTAGCACATGCTAAAACAACCCACAGCCCCACAACCACAAACACACTTGTAATGACTGCTCATCCCAGAAGCCTTGGGAAGCTTCTAGACACAGCAACAGAAGAGACACCGTGACGGACTCTGGTAGTTATGTGCCACTTCACACAACAGAAGAGACACCGTGACGGACTCTGGTAGTTATGTGCCACTTCACACAGAACCATTCAAAGCACACAACTGAACAGGCAACAGACACACAGTCAAAACAACTTCACGAGTGCAGCAGGGTCCTACGCAACCACACGGAAACATCTGGCCAGGCCATGAAAACGCGCTGCCTCATGCAATCTCACTCACCCTAGCTGTCACCAAAGCTCAGGGCACATGGCAACTAGCTGTGGGAGGCACACATATACATACACAGACACACAGAATGACAGGTGCTCACGCACGTAACACCTCCCACTCTAGACACACTCTTAGCCCAGTGTCACACACGCCTACACCTGCTGCCTCTCCACACCTGCCTCACCTGCTCTTCCTCACCCCCAAGGAAACCTAAGCTTTGGGTCCCTGGGTCTTGCCGCCCAGACCAGCCTGGAAGGTACATGTGAATGGGGCAGAGTGTGGGTAGGGGCCAAGTCAGGGTCAGACAGCGGAAGGGTCTAGGGGTATGGAGTCCGGCCACCCGCCCAGGACCCCTGAGCCACCGACTCACCCGTAAGCTGGTCGTAGGAGCCGTCCAGATCTCGGGATTCGGACAAACTCTCCTTTCGGCCTTGGCCCCGCATGGCCCCCGGCGCCCCGCTCCCGCCTTGGCCGTGGGAGGGGGCGCCGGGTGGCCGGGATAGGGCGCTCACACGGCGCCCCCTGGCGGCGCAGCGACCTGTCGGGGCTGGGGGCCGGGAGTAGGGGCTGACAGGGCTTTTGTCTGGGAACTCGCTGGGTTTTAGGGCTCACCCCGGGGTCCTGGGGCAGGAGCGAGAGTCTTGGGCAGCAATGTAGCGTGGCGCGGGAGGCAGAGTGGAGCTGAAAGCCGAGCCGGAGCCCAGCCGCCTCTCCTCCGCCCCCTCCCCGCGGCTGTCACCGCCGCCTCCCCCCTTAGGAGCTGCCGGGATTGGCTCCCCCTACCCCCCGCCCCCCACCCTCTGCAACTCGGAGGAGGTACCCGGTGAAAGGGTGAACTGGAAAGTGCCAGGAGGGAGACTAGCTCTCCAGCTACACCACCCACTAAGATGCGGGGCTTGGGGGAGAGGGGGCCAGAAAGGCCCCACTGTAGGGAATCCCCGCCCCCAATTCTCAGGCACCCCTTCCCCCACAGTCAGTTCTGCCCAGTAGGGCCAGAGCCATAAGGATACGTCTCAGTGGGTCCCTTGTTCCCTTGTGTCTTCATGTCAGCCTTATTTTCTCAGTTGTTTCCCCTGCCGAGATGTGTGTTCCCAATCAGCTGCCAGCCCTCCTCTTGCGCTATGGGGATGCGAAGAAGCCAACCCGGCCTCTGGACACAGGCTAACCGGTGGCATTGGGCACAGTTGTCTCTCTCAAGTTCCAGCAGGGACCTCACTTTCGGAATGCCATCTTCCCTGATTTATGGAACCCCCCCCCCAACATTCCCAGCCAACCGGGAAGGTAAAAGAAAGTAATGAACCAGGTCAGTTTCTCAAGTCTTCATTGCTCCTGCCTTCCTTTTTTCTCTCAGCTTTTCTGCCTCTTTCTCTTTGCCACTTGTAAAGAGAAGAGAAGGTTCTTTGTTTTCCAGCAGATTTAGGGAGCTTCTGAAAGCTCTGGGAACTCAGATGAGGATACAGGGGAGAAAAGAGATGTCTCCCTCATGAAGCCACCTCCTTTTGTGAAGGCAGGGTCAGCACTGCACAGGGTTCCCTAGTCCAGGAATGGCCTGCTGAGACCAAAAGCCTCAGCAAAGTACCTCAGATTTACTTTTCACACAGCTGAGTCAGTGAACTGTGGTGGGCACTCTTCTGTGAAGCTGAAACAGGCAACTGTGTAAGGCCTGCCTTCGGGAAGAACACTCTCAGAAACCTCCACAGAGCTGTCAGAGGCACGGGCCATGCTGATTTCTAGGAGAGTCCTTAGGTGTACACAAAGGAGGTGGCCAAGAAGCAGGCTTTTAAACTAGGAAGAGAGATGGTAGACAAGAGACACTTTCATAAAGCTCCTCATCCTAGACTGGCCCTTGTTCCTCACAGGAAAGGCTGGCAGAGACCTAGAAGGTACCCAAGGGACCGGCACATTACACTACTCTCTTCTTCACCCAGGGGAAGAGGGCCATAGTTGTCTGAACCCAGCTGGCCTCTGTCAGGTCCAGGAGACTCAGAGAGGGCAAGTCTTAAGGAAAGGTTCCTTTTGCACACAGATCAACACCTGGATCAATTTAAAGAGATGAAGGGGAAAAAGACACTGAAGAGACTGTACCACACAAATCCATTTTAATAGCGTTGATTTGCCACCAGCTCCAGATCCAGCTGCTCTGGGGTTTATCACCATGGAAAAAATTAGAAACCTCAGGTCAAGTTATCCATCCAGTGACCAGTGATCAGAGATGACCCAGCCAACATCTATGCATGTCAGTCTGCTGCTGAATTCTCTAGAACTAGCACACTTCCATTCAATCAGAACTCTGGCTCCCAGGGAGGGCAAGGATCCCCAAGAGATATGCTAAATGCACAGGCGCTCAGGACCCCGCCCTTCGCTCAGCCTCCCTCTGAACCCCACAAGCTGCATGCCTCCTGCCATCTACAAAACTTTAGATCGGGGTGCATGGAGGACCTCAGAGCAGCAGTTATTTCAGGGGCTGCTGTGGGGAAGGGAAAGGCTCTGCAGGGGTTCCATGGAGACTATTAAGAGAGGGCAGCCACAGGCCAACTTCACGAAGGTAGGATGTGCCCAAGGCCCAGCTAGAATATGGCTAGACAAGATGGAGGTCCTAGGCATGAGGCTCACCTAGCCTGTTCCAGCACCCGCGCTGCTTCCTTCCTAACCTGGACAGGTTCTCTCCGTCCCAGCACCAGACCACAGCAGGAACAGACTCCTCCCTAGAGGAAATTCTTAGGCAGGCTGAATGTAAACAACAGCAGGGTGAGGGGGTGGAGCACGTGGAGGGGAGCTCATCTAGGCTCCCATTGGAGGGGGTGGTGGGGAGGAGCTGCTGGAAAGGGAACCAGCAAAGTAGGCACCTTGAGGGCTGCAGAAAACCTGTCAATGTTTATTTCACACACTCCTTTAAGACAGTTTAAAACAGACTGGAAACAAAAGGCTAAAGTTGTGGGCCTATTGTGCTGATGAGTCAACGGTTGGAAGGCAAGGAAAAGTGAACAGGTACTCCTGGTGCCAGAACCAAATCCAGAAAGTGGAGGTCGGACAGCACAGCACCAGGCAGATTCCAATCTCCAGTTTCTCTGAGGCATCAACTTTGAATTTAGAAAACAGAAAAAAGGCGCCATCCCTGACCTACTCTATGCTTGGGCAGAGGTGCTAAGGACTGGACACACTGCAGCAGGGGCAGGGGCCTCGTTCAGCTCCAGGTCCAAAAAGAAAACAGGATGTGGCATCATAGCCAAAACCAGCCGCTGGCCTTCAGAGTATTGGCATCAGCTGAGGCCTGCTCCACCAGCACCTGAATAATCAATCGGAAGCCAGAACCTGGAACCCCAGCTGGAGTCATGAGGCAGTACCCCGTGAATGCAGCCCAGAAGCCCCGCATTTCTGCATGCCTTTTCTGTTGCCTGCCCATTTCTCCCCAAATAAGATCATCCTGGGCTTGCCCCAGCTGTCCAAGCTCACTGAAGCATGGCCTTCACCAAGACTCTCAATGTCTCTGCTTCTCTCCAACCTTGAAGGCAGTCCTCACTCCATGTGCTTGCCCTCCAGCCCAGGAGTCTCATGGGTAAGGGCAATCAGTGGCTCTCAGGCAGCGCAGTCTCAGGAGATGGTAGAGAACTCCTTCAGGAGGGCTTCCTGGCTGAGTGTGTGGAAGGCCAGGTTCCTCCGGACGTTGGTACTAATGGATCGAACCTGGGAAGGTGAAAGGGTAGAGGCAGAGAGAAGAGTCCATTACAAACAGCAGAGGGCAGTGTCTGAGGCTCTGTGCTTCCAGAAGAAAGACCCATGTCTTTCTCCCAACTCTAACAGGCTTCATGAGGAATTCAGCAGCCTTAGCGAGGAGGCTTGTCCACGGAAATATGTCTGTACTTTTGTGAGGAACAAACCAACCAGGGAGGGGAAGAATGTGCTGTTTCCCTTAGTCCCCAGAGGTCAGGGAGCTTTTCTTTCATTTCTGCTACACTCTAAGAAAGGAAGTGGAGTCATGAGGCAAGAAGCAGAGGGGGTGGGGGGTGGGGGGCGTACTGCAGCAGGGCCATCACAGGCAAAGCCAGCTCATTAGCTCCTAATTCCTCCCCGATGCCAGAGGTGCAGCCAGGAGTGAGGGGACGTGCCAAAGGACAGCACCTGCCTGTGATCCCAGCACTCGGGAGGCTGAGGCAGGAGGACCACCACAAGCACCAGGCCAGTCAAGATTATATGGTGAGATACTGTATTGAGAGAGAGAGAGACTTTTCTCCTTTTTAACCCTTTTCATAACCTAATGATAATATCTATTTGCTGCTGGTGCCCAGTGGGCCCCACATTAATGTAAAGACCACATTCACCTTGTAACAAACACTGCTCCGACTCTCTTTACACAACGGCTTTTTTGGGGGGGGGTTTGAGACAAGGTTTCTCTATAGCTTTGGGGCCTGTCCTGGAACTCTCTCAGTAGATCAGGCTGGCCTCAAACTCACAGAGATCCACCTGCCTCTGCCTCCCGTATGCTGGAATTAAAGGTATGCACCGCCACTGCTCAGCCACGATGGCTTTCTTATTCACAACTAACTCGCCACAGAAAAATCCTGAGGTGTTTCATGTCCAGGTTAGAGTTGGGCTGTCATGATCTGGCATCAGCACCTTGCCACAGACTTGGTGCATTAACTAAAAGCTTCGCTGATGCAAGCCTAGCAAGTGGGTTTAGAGCCTTCGTGTCATGCCAGCCACTGCCAGGGTCTGTGTCAGCCAAGCAGGCAGCAGAGCTGCAGGGAGGCAGGACTTTTCCAGAAGCAGCTCTGAGTACAGAACAGGAAGGGAAAAGGGAGAGACCAGCTTGGAGCTCTGCCTGGGAGGGGCTGGGGGACTCTCAGGCCAACAACCAGCTAGGGAGCGAGGAAGGAGTGACTGCAGGAGAAGGACCAGTTGCTCTCATGAACTGCTCTAAGGACAGGAACAGGGTAACACATCATGGCTGGCACTGGCCAACACATGCCAGACCTCAGGCCCAGCTGCAGTTGTGCAAGGTGGTCTCTGTGGCTGCAGACAGGGTGGGTAATGCTGGCTTGGGAGTATCTGCCTCTCACTGCTTCATTTCAAAATGCTTTGGTAGAGAAGTTACATGCAGACCCCTCTAATTTTATTAGTCTCTAGCAACCTGCAGTTATACCCTAGATACAGAGCAGATCCCAGACCCCCCCCCCCCCCCCGTGCGCACCCAGAGACACAGGTGGAGCTGGGGGTGGGCACTCACCAGCTCTTTGAAGAAGGCGGCTTCCTTGTGTTGCTCGGAGTAGCGCTCATACTGGTCCAGGCCATCTTGTAGCTTCAGTGTGAGTGTGTCATAGTTGGCTCGAACCACCTCTAGTACCTGAGGAAAGTCAAGGGCCAAACAGGGTCTCAGTCCCTGACAAGAATGTTTATATAAAGCAAGGAGGCAGGGTGGCAGGGAGCAATCCTTCTGGTTTATGAGATCTTCTCCCATACCGCTTCCTTTTTGAGATAGAAATGTATCTCATGTAGTTGAGGCTGGACTTGAATTCTTCACCCTCTGACCCCTGCCTCCCAAGTGCTGTGGTTATAGGCACGCACTGCCCCGCCCAGCTTCTGGGACCACTTTTGAATCTTCTCCATTCCCTACCTTTTCTGACCAGCCCAGCATGGACACCAAGGCTGTGTGCCCTGGGTGTGGTCGCCAGTGTCCCTGACACCATGCACTCTCTGCCCCCCCGTGAAGTCTCCTCTAGCCAGGCTGACCCAGGTGCCAAGCAGAGCTTTCTGCCAATGGCTTACTGCTTCTCCCTTTCTGGAAGCCACATTTCTTCAGTCCTGGGATGTTCCTCAGCACCACCTGCCGCTTGTTCTCGTCCCTCAGTGCCAACCCGGCCCTCATACCCATCTCTTGGAACAAACTTTTGGGCGTCCAAGCACTGAGGTACAGTGGACGCCCAAGAACAAGCTGCGACTGTTATTCTGATGGGGAACAGGGTGTGTATCTCCTCAACAATGCTGCTCTGACATTTTAAAATTTATTTAACTTTATTTTATGTGGACTTTTCTTATGTGTTATGCCTGCATGTATGTCTGTGTGAAGGTGTCAGATCCCCTAGAAATGGAATTACAGACAGTTGTGAGTTGCCATGTGGGTGCTGGGAATTGAATTTAGGACCTCTGGAAGAGCAGCCAGTGCTCTTAACCACTGAGCCATCTCTCTAGCCCCTGACTTTTGTTTTTTTGAGACAGGGTCTTGTTATATAGTCTAGGCCAGCCTGGAACTCACTATAGAGCTCAGTCTGAACTACAACTTTTCATCCTCCTGTCTCACCTCCTGACGTATCTGCCAACACACCTGACCTGACTCTCTGTGGGGTGAAGATTCAAAATTCAGCTGACCTTGGGAATCCTGGATACCTGAGCTTAATATTAATAATAAAGGGCTGGAGAGATGGCTCAGTGGTTAAGAGCATAGGCTGCTCTTCCAGAGGACCTGAGTTCAATTCCCAGCAACCACATGGTGGCTCACAACCATCTGAAATAAGATCTGGTGCCCTCTTCTGGCGCACGGGCATACATGGAGGCAGAATGTTGTATACATAATAAAAATAAATAAATAAGTCTTTAAAAAAAAAATAAAGGAATCCCAGGCAAGCAGCTCCTGAGATGCTGATTGAAGTAACGGGCAGAGCAGGGGCAGGTGGAAGCAGAGGCACTAGACCAAGTTAGCAGGAAAGAAGGAGCGGGCAGAAAAGTGGTTGCACACGCTAGTAACCTGCACACAGGAAGACATGACGTCAAGGAAAACCTTGCTCAACAGGGAACTGGGAGGGTGAGTGTGAGGGCGTTGGCTCTGAGAGAAGGCAGGAGGCCAAGGGAGCCAGTCGGTCACTGCTGGGCTGTTTTCTTTTCCAGACCAAAGTTAATCTTACTTGGGAGCAAATGCTCCTTTCTGCCCAAGTTCCTGAGGTGACGAAGAACTGGAGACACTGAGCGGGGCTGTGCTCTGGGAAAGGCTGAGTCTGGGCTTCAAGGGAAGAGGCAGCAAAGGCAAAGGCCTAACCCCTTCTTTCTTCTAACCACTGCATCAGAGTGTTTTGTTTGCCAGGTCTCACAGGGTAGGTTGTCTGCTCTGCTTCCAGTTCCATAAGCATGGAGACTGGGACCAGTAATGGCAGGCACAAGGGTAATCCAGTCCTCTCATGCTTGTGGGCAGCATTCCTAGCTAAACAGCTAACCAGGGTCTTGACTCAAGGTCAAAAACGGGCAAAATTCCTCCAAGATGGTGCCAGTTCCTAAGAACCAGGTGAAACAGAGTAATTCATGCTTTCCTAAGTCCTACGAGCTGCGCGGTCTCAGCAATGCCTACAATCTAACACCTTGGGTAGTCTTCCCTGAGGGGAGTCAGGTACCAAATGACAAAATCACACTAAAGCCAGTTGCTAAAAAAAGGTGCAGCACAGGAGGAGAAGACTGTACCCCAGTGTACCAACTGGACCCTAGAGCCTCAGCCTTGGAAGCTTTCTGGACCACCTGGCTATGCTCCTCTCGCCACGGGAGAGAGCCGTCAGTTCAGTAGACTCTGCTGCCCCTGAGCCACCACTGCTCCTTTACTTTCGATGACCCCTCCTAGACTGAGATCCTTCTCTGTAGAGCTCTGTAGCTCTGGCCTTGGCTTGCAATCCCCTGCCTCAGACACCTGAGTAGCTGGAATTACATGCCTGCGTCACCAGGCTGAGCTCAGACACCCTTTTAAACTATCCCAGCTAAGTGCAAAGGCACACCCCTTTAATCCTAGCACTAGGGAGGCAGAAAGAGATACACACCTCTGTGAATCTGAGGCCAGTGTGTCTAGTTAGTGAGCTCTGTGCCAGTTTGGGATACACAGTGAGACCCTGGCTCAGAACAACATCATCACATAAATATAGATAGCCTCTTTTCTAAACCCAGGCCCACCTTTATTCATAAGCTGCTGCCTGGGGTTGAGGCTTCCTAGATCCATACCTACAATTTAGCCCACAGTAGCTCAGAGTAGAAAAACTACCCACTAGCCATGTTTTCTAAGGCATCCTCACAAGCTATGATGACCCCATGCAGCCAGGACACTGGATGCTACAAATGCTCTGAGAGTAACTGAAGCTATTATTAATAATGATGGTAGCACTCTCTTATTAATAATGACTCCAGCACTCTCGGTACAGGCATTATCTATTGTGTATGTGAGTGTGGTAGATGTACAGCTGTATGCAGGGGGGAATGCAAACCTGCGTGTGTGCGTGCGTGCATGCGTGCAGGCTAAAGACGGTATCAGGCGCTCGGCTCTATCACATTCAGCTTTATTTCCTTGAGGTCTCTGAACCTGGTGTTTGACTGGTGGCTCATGTCACAGTGAGCATCTTGTCTGCCCCTCACAGCACTGGGTTACAGGTAGTACATATAGCCATGACTGGATTTTTTTCTTTTTCTTCTCTTTTCTTTCTCTCTCTCTCTCTCTCTCTCTCTCTCTCTCTCTTTCTTTTCTTTTCTTTTCTTTTTTTTTTTTTAGAAATAGGGTTTCTCTGTGTAGCTTTGGAACCTGTTCTGCCTGGAACTAGCTCTGTAAACCAGGCTGCACTTGAACACACTAAGATCTACCTGCCTCTGCCTCCCAAGTGCTGGGATTAAAGGCATGCGCTACCACCATCACTTGGCTATGTCTGTTTTTTTAAGTAAATGTACAGAATTTGAACTTTGTTCTTCATGCTTGTAGAGCAAGCACCTGCTCCCAAGTCCTTTCCCCAGTCCCAACACCTGTCACCTTTGAGCTTCCCCTTCTGGCCAGGAAATGTAACTTGAATCTCCTTTCTAAAATGACCCAGCAATAAAGGAGTTGAGCACCTTGAAGCTCCGGTGGTCGATGGAAACATCGCCATACCAAATGACTACACAGCCACGGCAAGAGCCCTGGGTCTCAAGAGCAACTCCTTTCACAGGAAGTACCGACCTGAAGAGCCTCACGCTCTGCCGACCGAGCTAGCCAGGCGTTGGGAGTACCTATTTTAAATTCTCCCAAAGGTCCTATAGTCCAAGTGATTCTCTACCACAAAGGGATGTTTAGATTCCAGTGGAAGATGCAACAGACAAATGGCCTCAGTTTCAAAGGCCCCACGGCCGATTTGCTTAAAAACATTGCCTCAAAAAAGCCAAGAGAAAGCAACGTAGGCAGGATGGGTGAGGGGGACCTAACCACTTGGTCCTCCTGTCCAGAGACAATGGCGTGAGAAAACAGCAAAGTCATTAGGAACATGGACATTGAGGCCACAGATCTGGATTTTGGCTCCACATTAAGCACCGATTAACTATATAAAGTCTTTTAGCCTCGGTTTGCATACCTGTGACGGGCACAACACTACCTGCCTCGTCAGCTGGTGTGAAGTGACATGAGACAGCGGCTCCCCAGTATCTGCCACACAGTGAATGGCAAATAAACAGTTACTAATTTTATAGGGAAAACTTTCTGGAGACAAGAGGCTTCTGGACGTTTCTGCTGTTCCCAGATAACCCTAACACAGGTCAGGAGTAAGGCCACACCTATCTTCATTCAGCTGCCGGTGACTATGCTGCTGAGGACACTAGATTCTCCCTGCAATGAACCAGAAGAACGTGGCGCGGGCCAGAAGTCAGAATGCCGAGAACCTGCTGCCAAGGTTGCTAAACCATACAGTGCAAGGGGTACAGGTTCTGTGAAAGAAAAGCTGAGCGGATGCCTGGCTCTGCACAGTGAAGGCTGTGGTTTTCTGTGTTTTCTAAGACAAGGTTTCTCTGTGTAGCCTGGCTGTCTTGTGTTTTCACTTTTTTTTAAAAGATTTATTTATTTTGTATACAGTGATCTGCTCACATGCATGCCTGCACCAGAAGAGAGCACCAGATCTCATTATAGATGGTTATGAGCCACCATGTAGTTCCTGGGAATTGAACTCAGGACCTTTGGAAGAGCAGCCAGTGGTCTTAACCCCTGTGACCTGGGTTGTTATTTTGTTTAGTAGAAGCTGGTGATTCTCCAACCCATGTTTTCACTTTTTAAAGCAGGGCCTTTGAAACAGGAAATTATTCTAGCCTGAAGATCACAAAAGACAGGAATCACTGATTTAGCTGGAAGTTCCTTCAACAGCTGCCCTTTGAGTCTTTTTTTTTTAATAATTATTTATTTGGATTTTATGTGCGTTGGTGCTTTGCCTACATGTATGTGAAGGTGTCACATGTCCTGGAACAGGAGTTACAAACAGTTGTGAGCTGCCATATGGGTGCTGGGAATTGAACCCAGATCCTTGGAAGAGAAGCCAGTGCTCTTAACCATTGAGCCATCTCTCCAGCTCCTACTCATTGAGTCTTAATTGC